GTCAGTTACTCACTAAAATTAAGTGAAATGTACTGTTTATCAACAGTGCTAGTTAAATGCCTTATGTAGTTTTTCCTGTTTCCATGGAAGTTTTTAAAATCCAAACACTAAACTCTTTCCTTGGTCTCAGAGAAGGTTTAAGAGAGCTGCTAGGGCTGACTGAAATATAGGGGAAATACAGAGAAACTGGACGGTTTCCACATAACCAAGAATCACAGATTAATGGAACAGCAATATTTGAGAATACTTGTGTAAATTAGAAAGTCTTCTTCCTTTAACATTCACGTGAGAAAACTAAGCTAGCTGGTGGGCAAGGAGCCACACTCCTCTAATCCCAGATACTTAGGAGGCTGACACAGGAGGAATGCAACTTTGAGGCCAATCTGGGCACTTTAGCTAGACCTTGTCTCAAAATAAAAAAGGGCTTGACATGTAGCTCAGCACTCAGTAGTAATAAAAACAAAAAAGAAAAAGCAAGCCAATTACAGCCTACAGATGCTAAATAAATGTTTTTCTCAAGAAACAGCCAATATCAGTCATGCTTGAGTAGGACTGTGTGAACAGGGGTGAAATGAGATTTCCACCCAGCGTATTATGCTTTGACAGTCTCTGCCATTTTAAAAAAATCTCACCTATCCATATTCATATTCAATTGCAACTTTGAAAGCATTCCAAAAGCAAGTATCAATAATTTTATTTTCTATTTTGTACTAGCTTCAGCTTTCCTTTAAATGGTAGTTTATAGACCACAGAAATTCAGCAAATAACATGAATTCAATCAAATTCCATGTTCAGTCTCTTAACAGGGAAATGGAATCTGAATAATTATTTCATTTTTCTTTTCTGTATTTCTGTATCATTGAGACTTTCACAAGATGTTCTTTTGCAATTTTAAATATATTTAAAAAGACAATCTGTGCAATTCTTAGCTTTAGCAAAAAGAAAGTGATACAAATTTCCTTGGTAATAGTATTGTTCATAGATTCAGTGATTTTATTTTGGATAACATAATTCCACTTTCCACAATTTAAGGTCATTTTTATTTTCTTTTTGTGGCCTTCAAAGAAGATGGGACAAGCTGCCTAGAATCTTCTACAGCAGTTTTCAAACACTTGTAATCCAAAAAGTTCCCATCAACTGAAGCTTTATCTGTAAATTGAACAAGTGGACAAAGAGACCCAGAGCTGCAGGGTCTGTGCCCATCCCCCCTCATGCCCTGGCAAGGGACCCCTGCTGTGGACACCACTTCTATGAACAGCACTCCAGGTAAGAACAGAAATTCTTACCTATTTAATATCACATTCATCTTAATATCATTAAATAATAAATCATTCAAGCTCTAAATATTACTACTTGAGGAGTAATATGCTGATGTCAATTAAACACTGGCTCATTTCCAATGCTTTAAACACAGCTATAAATAACATTTCCTGACTGATATTTGATTTAAAATGAAAATGTAGTGCTAGAATTTTAGTCTTGTTAGATTGGCTGTGCTCCATCAGGACTGAAAGCAGGTTTCATAGTTTCAATAATGTAACCTTTTGTATAGACTTCAATGTTAACTTCCAATAGAACACTAAGTGAGCATACACTTGTGAAAAGGCAGAGGGCTACAACATTTAAGGCTCTGATGTGGAAGACCTCACATTAAAATGTAAGATATCAAACCTAATATTTGGCTTTCCAAATAAATGCATAGTCTTGGTTGGCATAGGCAGTGTCATTTAAAAAAAAAATACCACTTTTATACAATTACACTGTCAACTAGAAAAAATGAAAACCTATCTCCAAAAAAATTTCTAAGAATACATAATTATAAGAATGGCATGAAGTATTATGTAAGTTATAAGAATATAAACCCCACTGCCACTATAGCCTAAGTATTTATTAGCATGGTATTCCAATTGAATACTAATATTCAATTGAGTATTTCTATACAGAAAATGAATAACATTTCCTGTACTTAATTTAGTAACTCAGCAGAAAATGCTCAAATTTTCTTGCTTTATTTTTTTTTTTTACGTTAACAAAGTACTTTCATATTACAGGTTTTTAATATATTAAAATTATTTTATTTTAAAATATGATGAACACAACTGAAGTTATACTATTTCATTCATATATATTACTAAGCTCCTAATAGTTCATACTAAAAATTTCAACACTGTCACTTTCTTGCCTTTATCTTGTTTCCATTTCAGCAAAATTTAGTATTCCCCTATACAAATTATATTTAATAAAATATTGATGTAAACTGTAAAAATTAAATTTATATGAATCCTTTTAATTCTATATTATACTAATTTTAAAAACTATACACTGTGAATATTATTTCTCTTTGTTCAAACATGGTAACTTTACTGTTTCCTCAGAGAAAAAGTAAAGGCTTGCTTTTTAGCATAACACAGGGGAATGATTCTGTTTCAAATGTGCATTTTAATAAGATGAAAACTTCACAGCTAATGATGAGTGTTCAGCAATCAGTGGATAGCTATGTTACTGATGTTACTTAACCACATTAACCAGTTACATAATTTCTGAAGTGATAAATGCTATACCTACTTCTACCATTGAACAGGCATGATGATGAAATTCTCCAATTTTTAACTGATATTTCTCTTTAGCTGATATTTTCCCATACAGGCTCCGGGAGGCTGAGTGGCTGGGGAGCGCGGGTCCTTCGGGGCCTAGTGCACACAGCCATGCAGGCACCTGGGGAGGCAGGCAGGCCGCAGGCGTCCACTCCGGGAGGCCGTGCAAGCACCTGGAAAGGCAGGCAGCAGGCGCCCAGGAAGCGGTGTGGAGACATGTGCCGGCCCTTGGGCCGGCTGCTGCCCCAGAAATACCATGCCATAGAGAAGCACTGACACAATAGGCCTGCCCAGAGACGTGCAAGAACCATCTCTTTTTTTTTTTTTTTTTTTTTGGTTTTTCTCTGGTACCGGGAACCAAACTCACGACCTTGCGCTTGCAAGGCAGGCGCTTTTGCCGCTGAGCTAAATCCCCAGCCCCGCAAGAACCATCTCAACATGGAGAAACCTCTGGGAAAACATGCCACATGGTGGGTCACTCTTGGCCCTGCCCTAGAGAGCCAGAAAGGTCTGGAGTCAGTGGAGGAGCAGCTGATGAACAAGGACTCAGAGAATGTGAGAGTACCAACGCCTGACGACTCAGAGGTTGAGCCGACTGGGGATATGGGAGCTGGAAACCAGGAAGACCTTGCGCAAAATACCTGGGGAGATCCCCTGGAGGCCATTCTTCCCCTAACTGCACAGGCTGCGGTGGAGGTCTGGAGAGGTCTACACTGAGACTTCCTGGATTAAAAGGGTGCCCAATATTCAGATTTTGAAGAACCACCTTCATGGAGAAGGTACATGTCTAGGTTACCTATCTGAGACACCTGATTGTGCTGAGACTGACTAGGGGGCCGAGGACTTCATCCACATGTTCCTGCCACCTGTGTTGATGGTTGGGGAAGAGGACACTAAGTGGTTGCAGGATCCCAATGGTCTGGGAGGTTGGAGAGAATACCTCTCTGCTTTCTTAGACAAAAGGCATTGATAAAGCATACTTCCCTGGACCCCAGGTCAGCAGAGGGACAAACTATTCTTAAAGGTAAGTTTATTACTCAGTCAGCCCCAAATAGTAGAAAAAAGCTACAAAAAATGGCTTTGTCCCAGATAGCTCACTTGAGGTGTTAGTAAGAATTGCCTTAGTTTTTTATAGCTGTGAGGAAGAGGAGGCCAAGGAGAGAAAACAAAGAGACGGAGAAAAAACAGCTGTCTTTGTTGCAGCACTAAGAGAAACAGGCCCTAAGTCCGATTCTCAGGGCCCCAAGAACTCGTTGACTACATTCATCTGCTACCACTGTCAAAAGCCAGGCCATCTCAAGAGGGACTGCCCTAAGAAGCCCCCTGGGCCATGCCCTGACTGTAAAGGTGACCACTAGAGGTCGGAATGCCCTCTGAAGTGAAGGCCCCAGAGCTCAGACTCCTCCTACCAGCTGGTCTAACAGGAATGAAGGGGCCCAGGGCACTCTGCCTTCTCCTTCTGGCCAGACCATTATCTTCAAGGAGGAGCCCCATGTAATCATGACTATAGAGGAAAAAGTAAACAGCCTATTGCTGGACACTGGTGCTAGTCTTTAGGTCCTTCTTTTCAGTTCTAGCCTTCCTTCCAGCCGTCACACCTCAGTGAAAAGAGTCACTGATGAGGAGGTAATCTGCTATTTTTCACAACCCTTGGGCTGTAACTTGTTAGATCTTTCTTGCATATCTTTGTTTTCCTGAGAAACCACTTTGAAGATACCAATATGTATTACCGCAGCCATTGATAATTTCCTACCAATCTGTCCATAGCTCTGTAATGTTTCTATTGTTCCTATGCTATTTTGTAAATGGATGTATGTTTATTACTATGTGTTTTCAACAACAACCATGGAGAATAGTCAATGATTATTTAATTAATCACTCATGTATAGCTCTATTTGTTTTCCCTAGAAACCACTTTGAAGAAACCAAAGTATAGTGCAACAACCAGTGATAATTTCCAACCATTGTTGTCTGTAACTCACTATTATTTGTCTATTTGTTTTCCTGAGAAACTATCTTGAAGATATCAATAGATAAAATAACAACCATTGATAATGTCCTACCACTTTGTCTGTAATTCGGTAAATCATCCTATTATTACGTTATCCTTCTTTTACTCTTTCAAATAAATTTAAAAAACAATTTTAAAAAAGGTATTTTCCCATACTAACTTTACAATGTTATACTTTGTGATTAGGCTGGTAGTTGTGGTCTCTGGAATAAAAGGTTATTAAAAAAGCGAACATCCTGTAATCCCAGAACTTGGGAGGTTGAGGCAGGAGGATTGCCATGAATTCAAGGACAGCCTCAGCTACAGAGTGAGTTCAAGGTCAGCCTCCTGAACTGCACAGCAAGACCTTGTCTCACACACACAAAAAAATGACTAACATGATATAAATTCATATGTAATATCTGAGACTTGATGTTGTTTTTACTTTATTAGGTATTAGATCCATGTTACAGAAAAAGTGAGTTATAAATTTTAGCATTTTTTTAAATGATAGGAAAAACAGAAGAGATTTCAGAGAATGAAGATAAAATTATAACAATTCAAACTATATTGCCTAAAGAAAAGTTGAAGTAATTATTTTACATGAAAAATAAGCTTAAACAGTGTCAAAGCTCCTTAGGGGCACATCTATTAATCAAAAAGAGAATATCTCAACAATATGCCCTACTTTTAGAAATACTGGTGATATAGTCAGAAGGGAAAGTGATGTCAAATGTTTTAGAAAACACAAACTATGCCTTGGAGGTGAAGCAAAAGGAAAGATTCAAGATGGTAATGCATGTAGGGAAAAGGGTCAGAGAGCTTTTTGAGCAGATACAGGCTATGACAGTGAAGATTTACATTAATCTCAGAAGTAACTGCACTGCAGGAATACAATTTTCATGGTCTTAAGGGACTTTCAAAATGGTGCATAATTTTCTTTTTTGTTTGTTTTTTTGGTTTTTCTCCGGTACAGGGAACCGAACTCACGACCTTGTGCTTGCCAGGCAGGCGCTTTGCCGCTGAGCTAAATCCCCAGCCCCGTGGTGCATAATTTTCTTTATATTTGATAAAAGAACTGGTGATTTCCAGTTCTGCAACATCTAAACAAACTAAGAAGGGACATCTCTTCTCTATTTTCATAGCTACATTTCATAATCCTGGATGACATCCTATGTCTGAAGTTATTTTCAATTGCACTGTTCCCTTATTTTTGGAAGTGTTTCTTGTGGTCCTTTGCCCTGGAACTCCAGAGGAAAACTTTAGGCAGCGAGAAACACAGCTTCATCAGAGTCCCTGTCCTTGCCACTGTCTTCACTCGGTGCATGCTCACCCCTACTAGGAGATCGGCAGCTCAAGTCCTCCACACCAGACTCTTGATCACTGTTTGCTGACAGATCTGGGTCTGAGCTTTTGAAATTGTCTTGGGTTAGAATCAGTGCAGAATCTTCATCACCTTGTGAAGGGCTCCTGGAGGGAAATGACTTCAGGTTCCCGCTGTAATCCTGGCGAGTGTTCACCGTGCTGTTGTCTGAGGTAGAAAACCCTGAGAGTCTGCTGCACTCATTCTGTTTATTCTTCACTTTGGTGCAATTTAACTGGACTTTTTGAATTTTTTTCAGCCTCTAAAAACAAAATAATTTCAGGGAAGAAATCAGAATTATTTACATATATATATATATATGCTTTGGTATTTATTACCTGCCGGATGGTATAATGTTAAGAACATGGAATGTAAATGTGGGTTCAAACCTAGACTTTATGACATTGGTCAAAATAAATTCTGTGAGGCTGGCTTTCCTCATCTGGAATGTAAGGATGGTAGTACCTGCCTCCACAGGTTTTCTGTAAATGTAAACAATGTTAACACAAACTACTGTAGTCTCCCCCTTTTCTATTCTGTAGGGTTTTACATAATGATTTGTATCCCATGAATTCAAAAATGTTTTTTAAAAGTCAGAAATGATGTGTTTAATTTTATTGATAAAATTCACCCATTTAAAGTATACAATTTGGTGGTTTTTAGTATATTTGAAGGTTGCACAACCATCACTACTAAGTTAAATCATTTTCATCACCAAGAAAAAAATATTAGCAGGCATTCCTATTTCCACCTCCTCATAGCTCCTGGCAACCATTAATTAACTTTATCTCCATGGATTTGTGCATTTTAGACATTTCAGCACAGTCATAAGGACCATCTGCATTACAGCACATATCCTGTCTCATTGCTTTCAATGGCTGAATCACATTCACTACATCGATTACACAGACACCACATTTTGCTTCTCCATGCATCAAATTTGGGCTTTTCAAAACATATTTTCCCAGACTGTGTCCATTAGGTCAGCAGGAGGGGCACTGTAAGATCGAGTATTATATACTTATTCAAAAAGCACTTACATAAATTATTAGTGCAGAAGCATTATCCTGGGTAATATAAGGAACAGAGATGAGTCCAGATACGGCCATGGAGAACTTGTAGTGTTATGAACAAGAGAGACAGTGCTACTGTAGGAATTTGGAAAAGGCAAATTTAAGAGGGTTGGGCTGTGACAGTTTGAGGGAATACAGTGGAGTGAGCTCTAAGAAGGGAATATTTTAATAGAACTATAAAAGACTTAAACATTCTGGTGACAGTAGAAAGCATTCCTGGCAGGAAGGACAGTGGGAAAAAACACAAAGATATGAAGGTGTCAGGTACTGACAGAATGCAGAACTGTTCAGTTTTAGCAAGGAGAATAGCAGAGAATAAGAAAAAGTGTCTGAGACTAGATAATAGGAAAATCTCAAATGCTGAGCTAGTAAGTTATTTTCTTGTGCTACTGGAATTGACCCCAGGGCCTTTGCACTAAGCTACACTCCCAGCCATTTTTCATACTTGAGACAGGGTCTCACTGCCCAGGCTTGCTTCTAACTTTGACTCCTCCATCTCAGCTTTCTATAAATTTTATCTTTGTTATAAGGAAGTAAGAGCCAATGTTTTAAAATTAAGGTACTTAAATAATTTAAAACATTACTGTAACAAAAGAATGCTAGAATAGATAACAGAGTCCTAATGTCTGCATAAAGCTTAAATGTCTTTAGAAAGAGTAAATGTAACTGGCCAGTGATGACATGAAGGGACGTTAAGTGACAAAAGGTCCACGACAGTTCCAGAATTCCAAAAATGTATCTCATTTGATCTCTTTACATTTATTTTTTAATTCAAGATCTCTCAGCCTTGGATGAGTTCACAATCACCTGTCTCTAAAGATTTGGAGTTTCTAGGCTTAGTGCCCAGGTATCAGAATTCCTTGTGAGCTGGTGATCCCACGGCAGACACTGGTAAAAACTGCTTCTCCCTAAAGTAAAACATAATGACGTCAGCCACAGCTTCTCATATGGCTCCAAGGATGTTTTATTTGACCCCTGAAGATATACGCTATAGTACCAGTTATGTTTGGTCTCATAAGCTCTCAAAATGACCATTTTAACCTTCTGAGTCTGTTTTATCTATCTGGATCTGCCATGCACTTAGTTTGCAACCAACCTTAGACTTTAGGTCTTTCACAATATTCATATCTTGAAAGGTAATGTCTTCTAGAGTATTTTAAGAGAAAAAGGAGTCACCCTACTCAGCTACCTCTAAATGGCCACCTCTATTAGTAATAATAATTTAATATTTTTCATTCCCTCAGCCCATTATTTTCAGTGGTGACCTGCAGGTAACTACTTCCTGGGCAAAGGAGAAGACTTCAGATTCAACTTGTGATATTTTGGTAACCTTCGTTCAGACATTCATCAACTGGGAGGGAACTGGGAATTCTCCTTGAGTCACATTATTGCTTTACAAGGTTTAACAAAGGACTTGAACTCTCTACAGTTTCCCAGCCTTAATCCTAATACTTTTTCTACACTACATGATCTTAGAAATTATTTTTCTTTGTATCTAAAACATTGAGCCTCACTTCAGAATTCCGGTCCTGAACTCTAGGAATCTATCACCAGTTCTTGAGCAGGTCAATGACAAGATACCAGGTGTTATGGTTTATGTCTGTGTGTCCCCACAAAGCCTCATGAGGCCATGGGGCAGGCTTTAAGAGTTTGATTATGGGTGTGAGAGCTGCACCGGCCCTGGGGTGGATAGTTTGCATATGTTAGGGAGAGGAAAAGAGTGCTTGAGGCCATTCCTCCCCCGATTCCTCGCTGGTGTGTGCTGGTTGCTTTTGCTGTTGTCTGCCACCCTGAGCTGTAGCTCTCTGCCATGTGCCACTCTGCCTTATAATCTGCCAAGTACGGACTGAAACCTCCACGAACTGTAAGCGAAATAAACCTTTCCTTCCTTAATTTTGGGCATCAGGTATTTTGTCCCAGCAATGAGAGAAAAGTAACCAAGACACCAGAAGAAGGCGAGTAAAGCAGCTGAAGCAAAGAATGCAAGGGGTGTAGGTGACCAAATGAACTAGAGTGGTACCACTGGAAACAAAGGGTCAAGGAGGAAAACTGGTCATACACATCCTAAACCTCCCGGCTGAGCACAGTGCCACAACAGACCGCAGCTGGTCCTAACAGTTATCAGAACACTTAAAAAATGAAGAAATGGATTTTTCTTACCAGTACATGTCCTAGTTTTATTCTTATACTCCACCCCCAATACTTTTTTTCTTTCTCCAGAAATAATTCATTTTAGTATTCATGAATAACAAAAAATACTGGCCAGTAGCCAAGTCATTCAGCAAACTGAAAGTAACCCACAAACCAGGCATCTAAAATCCACTAAATGCCTAGGTTTGGGCTTCAGTTATCTAGCTATTCACATGGACAAGAATGCACGAGGATGCTCCCTGGCTAAGGAGAGGAAATGGCTGTTGTCACATTTTCTGTACTGAGTCTCGAGAGGCTTCCACACATCTGTTTTTAAGAAGTAAGCACAGAAAAGAGATTAACAACATCAGGTGGGTCTTACTTCTTCTAGGGCCTCCAGTTCCTCCTCCAGCTGCTGGGATTCCTCCTTCACTGCCATAAGGTAATCCGTAACTGACTGTCGGGGCTGCATCCCCTTCTCAAAGTGGTTATACATCCCACTCCAAAACCTGGGAAGGAAGGCAGAGCTTTACAATACCACCCTAGTGCAATATGAAAGTTCACCCTCTCAAATTGTGCTTATTTGATACCATATCCCTGGTTTTCATAATAATCGCATGAAAGCTACAACCTGGAGAAGGTGGTGACCAAATATGTTGGTACTTTCTTTTTCTTGATTCAGTAAAGTTGTTTTGGGGAAAATAAGTTCATGAAGAGTCTACTTGAATACGTAATACTGAATTAGAAGGCATACATTTTTCTATAATAGATTGAAGCAGAACATGTACCACTTCTCGCTCTCGCATATGGCTCTTAGTTTGAATTTCAAAAAATAGTGATTGTATGGTTAGAATCTTCCAGCTGCAAAGGGAGGTTTTAATACTTTAAGTTTTCAGATTTTTTAATCATAGCCACCAAAATCTGACATTTACATCTGCAATAAATCATCACCTTTTATCCTAAACAATTTTATTGTACTAGAATGCCAATAAGAATAAATGGTGTTGCCAGAGGGTTATCATAGGTCTTTGATTTTTATTAGTATTTTTTTTTTCTTACTGAGAACAGAAAAGCACTTTGAGGACAGTGTCTCAACAGCTCTTAAAAATGTTTTAGCCAGGTGTTGTAGCACAAGACCTGTAATCCCAGCACTTGAGAGGCTGAGGAAAGAAGATTGCCACAAGTTTGAGGCCAGCCTGAACCACATAGAGAGATATTGTCTCAAAAAAAGAAAAATGTTCACAAACAACAAACTTACTGAGAGAGAAATTAGGGAAACCACACCTTTCACATTAGCATCCAAAATATTGAAATACTTAGGAGTCAATCTAACAAAGGAAGTAAAAGATTTATATATTGAAAATTACAGTACTCTAAGAAAGGAGATTGAAGAGGATATCAGAAAATGCAAAGATATCTCTTGCTCAAGGATAGGAAAAAAACAACATAGTGAAAATGGCCATACTTTCAACATTGATATACAGATTTAATGCAATCCCGAGCAAAACACCATTAGCATACCTCACAGAACTAGAGTAAATACTTCTAAATTTCATCTGGAACCAGAAGAGACCTAGAATGGCAAAGGCAATCCTGGGCAACAAAGACAAGTCAGGTGGCATCACAATCCCTGACTTGAAATTATACTACAAAGCTACTGTGATAAAATCAGCATGGTACTGGCAAAAAAAATAGACCTGAGGACCACAGAACAGATTAGAAGATGTGGACACAACTACAAACACACTCAGCCACCTTATCTTTGACAAAGGGGCCAAACAATGTTCAATGGAAGAAAGATAGCCTCTTTAATAAACGGCACTGGAAAAACTGCCTCTCTACATGCTGGATGAAGACCAAAACTAGACCCATGTCTACCACCATACACTAAACTAAAGTCAAAATTGATCTAAGATTTAAACATTAAAGCAGAAACACTAAATCTACTGAAAGAGGAAAAAGGTTGAAATCTTGAAGACATAGGGATAGGCACGGTCTTCATGAACAAAACCCAAACTGCACAGGAAACACTTCAAAGAATCAACAACTGGGATCTCATTCCATTAAAATGCTTTTTGTACTTCAAAAGAAATCACCAACAGAGTGAAAAGACAACCCACAGAATGGGAAAACATTTTAGCTAACTGTCCCTCAGACAAAGGACTCCTGTCTAGAACATATAAAGAACTGAAAAAAAATCAACCCCCCAAATTCAAAGACCCAATCCAAAAATGGGCATGTAAGATGAATACAGGCTTCTTACATGAAGAAATATAAATGGTAAATAAATAAATGAAAAAATGTTCAACATCATTGGTCATTTGAGAGATGCAAGTTAAAACAACACTGAGATTTCATCTCACCACAGTAAGAATAACTACCATCAAGAAATCAAGCAACAACAAATGCTGGAGGGGCTGTGGAGAAAAAGGAACCCTTCTCCACTGTTGGTGGGAGTGCCAACTGGTGCAACCACTTTGGAAATCAGTCTGGAGATTCCTCAAAAAATTAGGAATAGAGGTCCCATTCAACCCAGCCATTCCCCTTTCTGGGGAATTAAAAACATCATACCACAGCAATATCTGTGTACCCATGTTTATAGCAGCACAATTGGTAATAGCAAAATGTTAGAAACAACCCAAATGCTCATCAGCTGAGGAGCAGACAAGAAAAATGCAGTATTTTTATACAATGGAGTATTACTCATCTATAAAGAAAGATAAACTCGATGCTTTCATAGGTAATGGATGCAACTAGAGACCATACTCATAAGTGAAATAAATCAGACTCACATGTGTAAACACTGCATTTTCTCCCTAGTTTAAGAACCTGAAAGAGTAAATAAAACTTAAAGGTATAATAGACATTGTGAAAGGGAAAGAAACTGCTGAATAGTAAAGAACAACTGGGATGAAGGAAAGGCAAAAAGAAGGTAACTGTACTACTAATTTCTACTGGTTTATTGAAAGGAACAGTTAATGTTTAATTGTTCAATCAATCTTGCATACCTGCATCTGCTAATCTGAACAACTACTTTGAAGATAACAGTTAAGTAATACAACAACCATTGTTGATGTCCTACTATCCTGTTTTAAATTGTGCATCATTTTTACAGTTTTTATAGTGTTGTTATAGTTTCATTTTTAAAGTGTTGTTTTGTTTTTGTTATTATTTTGTGTTCTTTTCTCTTTAAAATAACAAGAAAAATGCTGTTTTACACAGGCATAGAGGAGGCATTTGCTTTTAGTAATACAAAATTAATATTCTGCTGTAAAAAATCTGAGGAAATAATGATACTAGAATAAGTAAGAACCAATCATCATGAGGAACAAAATCTACAGGGAAAAAACTCACTAGCTGTTGGGAAAGAATAAGAAGGAATGTGGTTTCCTACTGATTCTCTGTGTGCTCGTCTATTTTCCCACGAGTCATTTTTTTATATCATACAAGGCTACAGAAGATGCCAAAGAATAACACATATTACACAAATCTAGGAAGACCCAACAGAACATGCAGGAGGCTACCCTGTTTCTTCTGTTCCAATCTACAATTTTAAAATAATTTACTTCCATGAGGACTTCATTCAACTGAGTTAGAAAGGCAAGCTATCTGAAGAATGCTATTAAAATTTGTGATTCTCATTGGACTTAAAGATACTTGGTTTTCTTTTTCTTTCACTTTAAAAAATTCAAAGATGCATTTTTTAGATATCATCATTATAAAATATCAACTTCTGAAGAAAATTCCACTTAGAAGGTTGGAGAAGAAGAGACACTGAGAAAAACACCAGTCAGATATTCAAGAATCTTCCTCCAGTGGGTTTTGTGTCTAGAAAAGTTTTAAGCTGAGACTCTGCCCTCTGTGCACCCATGGCAGACAGGAATTCCTCACGCAGAAGCCCCAGGGACTGCTCTCACTGGGGTTTGTGAGTGGGCCTTCCCTGTGCAGGTCCTGTGACAGTGAGCAAGTGCTGGTCCAAGAGTTGCTGGTCCTGTGGTTCGAGTCCGTGCTTTACTTGCACCCAGACCCCCTGAAGGTTCGCGGGCAGGGGCAGTCTGTGCTTGCTCTTTGAGTGGCCTGGGTCTGGCTCCTGCCTATGTCCTGAACTGACTAAGAAGCAGAACCAGGAGGGCTGTGATATACTCCCACAACCACGGTTCCCAGCTGAAACACGGGAGAGAGCCAGGTATTTCCCATTTACTTCCTGGGGGTACAGCAGGCAACCCAGGACTCTCCGCCATTACACTTTGAGTATCTGCCCTCCGTGCACGCATAGCAGGCAGGAATTCGTCCCTCAGAAGCCGCAGGGACTGTTCTCACCAGGGTTTGCATGTGGGTCCTCGCTGCGTGGGCCCTACGCTGAGTGAAGGAGTGCTCCAAGAGCTCCTGGTCCCATGGTTCGAGTCCGGGCATTAAATGAGCCTGGACCCAAGGAGTGTCACAGGTAAGGGCAGTCTGTGATTGCTGTTGGTCCAGTCGACCTTTGGTTCCTGTATGTGTCCAAACTGATTGGAGACACAGAATCAGGTGGTTCACAAACTGTCGACCCTGCAGTTCATCTCTGCGTTTTGCCTGCACCCTGAACGGCCTGGGGACATAGGTTGACTGGACCGAGATTGTCACACCAGTGCAACCCAAGTCTGGGCCGTGCACGTGCCCTAAACTGCAAGGGGACACTGGATCAGACATTCTGCCATCAGCTGACACCAATGCCCGCATCTGACATCAGGGATAACTAGATACAAATAAAACCCAAAAACCCAAGCAAATGTAGTGGTTCCCAAGGGTCATTGAGGGACAAACCTGACCAACAGGACAACTAGGGACACTAGTGGCCTTTGCTGTGCAGCCACTGAAGAGGGAAACTGAGCTTTCTGCATCTGGTAGCAAACATGACAAAACGAAGGACTAAAACACAATCCCAGAATTCCACCGCACTCAGAACAAGTCCAGGAAACATCGACATAGGAGAACGTGGTAAACACATGGCTGAAATAGCTGAAATGATTGCAGTCGAGGTAAAGAAACAACGCCATAAGGCCATAGAAGAGATGAGATCAGAGATAATCTCTCAGGCAAAAAATGAAATGACAATAATACTGAAAGAACTGCTCAAAACTTCTGAAGAAGAAACATATAAGAAAATAGGAGAACAAAGGCAACAGATGGAAGCATTACATGAAAAATATAAAAAGGACTTAGAATGCATGAACCAGATTCAAAGAGACTTCCAGGAAAACAAAGCTTCCATGGAAAGCTGCCAAAACTGCTTGAATGAAGCTGAAGATAGAATTTCAGACTTTGCAGACAGTATGGCAACTAGTGACCATGAAAGAAAGGGATCTCGTAAAATCAACAAGGATCCAAGAAAAATCAATTCAACAGCTGCAAGATGAGGCAAAGATGAATAATGTATGACTAACAGGAGGAAATGAAACAGCATGAGGCAACACAACTGACATAAAAAGAATATTTGCAGAAATAATAGCAGAAAATTTTCCAAGTATGG